AATAAGACAGCCAACACAAACACTATCGTATAATAAAAAAAAATTGAAATAATAATTGAAACAAGTAAAAAGTATATCAAAATAAAAACTATAACAGGTCTCTTAGAAATTGAGAAAATAGTTACAGAAAAATTACAATTTTAATGAACCTTCAGTGAAAACTATATTGAAAAATTATTCCCATAATAAAGAATGTTTAAGAACAGCAAATCATGTGATTAAACTGTCAGAGAACTCCTAAAAACTTAGAATAATGTTAGGATAGAGGTGCATAAAGCTAAAAATTATATTTCATTTCAAACTTTTTACTTGTACATTTTTTTAATATTACAAATGCCATTAATAAAGTTACAGTAAATTCATATCAATACAATCAAATAATTGAAGAGCACTTAAAATAAACCCAGCCTGACTATAACATATTATCATTTTTATTTATCACAGTATTTCATTAATACTTTATTTAGACTATTTACATCAATGTTCAAAAGATAATCTTTTATTGTAATTTCTTAATTAGGTTTTTATAGTAAGATTATGCTAGCCCATAAAACAATCTCTTTTATTCTTATGAAGAATTTCTATAAGATTTATATTATTTTTATCTTAAATGTTTGGAAGAATTTGCAGATGAATTCCATCTTGAGCTAGAATTTTCTTGTGAAGAGATTTTAATTTCAGACTCACATTTTTAAAAGGTTATCTGCAAGTCCCTTCAAATTTTTCTAATTATTGAAATGCAAATTTCAAGTTGCTTTTTTTCAAGAAATTTGTCAATTTYTTTTAATTTTCCAAATTCCTGTATGCTGCTGCTTATAATTTCCTTTTACTATCATTTTAATATCTATAGATAATCTCTAGTCACATCCTCTATTTCATTGCTGGTATTATATCTTATCTCTTTTTTCTTGATCGGTATAACTAAAGATTTGTTTATTGTATTAGTCTATTTGGCTTTGTTAAATGTCTCATTATCACCTAATATATTTTCCTTCTTTTAATGTTCCTTGATTTAACTAGTTCTTTTGTAACGAGAACTGAATGTAAAAGACATAAACTGGATTTTAGCTTTATTTCTTTTATAATATATACAATTAAAGTTAAAAATTTTCCTCAAAGCATAGCTTTATCTCACAACTTCTTCCATGTTCAATTGATTTTATCAAATTTTCATTGCCCTTTCTGATTCCACATAAAATTATTTTCCAAAATTAAAAAATTTCAGAATTGTATAGCTATTGTAACTGTAATTTATTTCTAATTTAATCCTTTTGTGATCCATGACAAAGTACTTTCCATCACCTGAAACCTGCTAAGGCTGGTCTAATGGCTTAGCACATTTTAGCTTCCGTAAAAGTTCCACGTGTGCTTGAGTATGTATTTAGATTTACAGTTCCAGCAATGACAGAGTAACTTGTATGAAAACTGGCCCTCTTCCTGCCAATAAAAACCATAAAGGCTACACAAAATATATAAATGGACTGTTTAAAGGCTGTGGAAAGCAACCAATATAAGCAAGTTTTAAGAAACTACAATTCTTGAAACGGGAATAACAACATTAGACCCACATTCACCCTAGCATTTTGCTTGAAGACATTTCAAATTCAGAAAGCAGGAGAAATGATTCCTTGCAAAAACCAGCATTCCCAACTGACTGAAACAGAATTAGGAGTTCAGGAAGTCTAAAGCAACTGGGACATCAGGGGCAAAAATCTCAGAAAGCGGGGGTGCATGGGTACTATAAGGAAGTGAGCCAAAAAATCTGCATTCAATCTCCCTTAACATGCCTGACAAGTGCTGGACTTTGCATATTCAGGGCAAAACTCCAAAAAACCTACAAACCTAGCAGAAAGCAACAGCTGGAAAGCTAATGAGCAGAACAGATTTTACAACAATTATATAGTGCTAAGGAAACAAAAGTTGGGATCCAGGGATGTAATGGGCTTTACAAATATCCTATATTTTCAGCTGAGACCCCTAAAGGAACAGGAACAAAACTAAAATACATCAACCTTAATAACATCACAAACCAAACCTTGACAGGATTAGGATGGTCTGATTATACTCTAATCTTGCCAAACACACACTCCCACTCCCATATACACACACACAGAGACACACACACACACACACAAAAAAAAAACTTTTAAAAGAAGGCTCTATAATTTTAAATATATACTGTTAAAAATTGTGAGATATGTTAAAGAAAAGGTGAAATAACTGAAAACCTACCAGAAATGTTTATAAAGTAAACCCACAAGTTGTAGAGTCATTTTAATTTTCAGTCATAGATGTTTTTAAAAAGCTATACATGAAAGGGGCTGGAGTTGTGGCTCAGTGGTAGAGCATTTGCCTCGCACGTGTGAGGCATTGGGTTCGATCCTCAGCACCAATATAATTAAATAAATAAATAAACAAAATAAAGGTACTGTGTTCATCTACAACTAAAAAAATTTTTTTAAAAATTAAGCTATATATGATAAATAAGTCCAAAAACTATGGAAAGATGGAGACTATCAGCAGACATTTATTTCATAGAATCAGTTTTGAAGACCAGTAGCTTATGATCTATATCAAATCTGGATGTGTTCCTCAGGTATGGTTTTTCTTGATCTGAAAAACCTGGGTATTAGGTGGGAGAAGAGGGCTGGAAGGGGAAGTGAAGATGAAGGTCCCCAACACTAATTTCTAGAGAGTCTTTCACTTATACCCCTGTTGTAAATACACTACTCTTACCTTCTAATGTGCGTGGTCCTTTGGATCAAACACYATCTTTCCTACCACCTCTAAAAAATAAACCTCCAATATTCTTCTGGAATGAGAGCGGAATAGTCCTGCTACAATTCAGATTAAGTGGAGGAGGGTTCAGGAAACTAAACTCCTTAAAGTACCACCCTTCCACGTACCCTTACTTCCAAAAATAAATATAACACCAATCTTCCAACTTTTGGGCATTCTGTGATTGCTTTTCAGTTTTGTCTCTTTTTTGCATCTTGGGATTCACCTAACTCACTGAAATTCTGTTACAAGCAATCTTTCTTCTTTCCGACTTCCAAAGAATCTGTTCATATCATCTTTTCTCCTTTTTCTTAAGCTGAATTTTTAAATCCTTTTATATCATTTTAGCTGGGCTTGGGAGTAAGCAAATTAAAGGCATGTGGTCAATCATTTTCAATTAGAATTATTTTATAGCATATAGTTATAAACTTCATTACAATAGCTACCATTATTACCAATTATTTGAGGTATATGCCATAACTCACTGAGCACAACAATGCACTAAAACCCCAAAACTAAAAGTGAAGGTGTTCTAAAACAAAATTTTCCAATACCATAATACCGTTTCCTTAAGCACAGTTCATTATCTATCATCATCTCTCATTTCATCTCAACCAAATGGATTTCTCATAAATAATCTCAAAGTATTCATTTAAACAAAGCCATAAGTGCTAATTTTATATAATTACTCTAAGGTTTTTGCAACTTTGATTTTTATAACAAGTTTCTCTCAGATTGTTTATAGATACAGAAATTAGAGAGTATTGATTTCATATTTTCCTACCTCTTTCTCAGAGAAGGAACTTGCTATGATTTGAATGTGGTTTGTTCCTCAAAGGTTCATGTAATTGAGGTCTGGTCCTCAGTGTGGCAGCATTAAGATGGTGGAAGCTTAAGAAGTAGGACCTTAATGGAGGTGATTAGGTCACTAGGGGTTACTTCCCTTGAAAAGGATAAGGTAATTCTAGTGGGATCCCAGTGGTTCCCATAAATGTGGATTGTTTAAAGGAGCTCGGGGGCGGGGGGGGGCGGGGACGAACTTGATGCATACATTGCTCTCTGGCTTCCTGTCTCACTATATGATTACTTTTACTACCATCATGATGATATTATCTACCATAAGGCCCACTTTAAAGGCCTAACTGATGGGGTCACCCAATCTTGGAYTTTCAGTCTCTTGTAAGCTAAATAAATCTCTTTGTAATCTACCCAGTACTTTGTTACAGCAACAGAAAAMAGACAAATACAGAATTTTTACCTACTAGCAAGGTGCTACTTCTCAGCCTATATGAAGAAACCAAGTACAAAATGTTGGGTGAAAATAAAGAATATTATTTGAAATAAGCCAATACAACTTGCTAATACCAAAATCCAAAACAAATCAAAGTATATCCATAATACAAAGATAGCAAGGCCTTTGTTATGTGCACCAAAATATGTCTTTCTGAACCAAGAAGTTTCAAAGGGCTCTTCCACTGAAGGAAAAAGATAGCATTTTCTGAAGTTCCCCTTTACTCATAACAAACTCATTATTACTTATTATCATTCTCACATCCCAGACTCTGAATATATTTTTTAAAATCCACAGATTTCTACAGAAAAAGATTTTATGAAGGAAATTCTTGTGAGATAAATCATACCCTCATAATGACACACTATCTATTTATTTGTGTTCCTTGATTATTCTGATAGCTTAGAGAATAAATGTTTGAACAACCATAAACAGATTATTCTGAAGTACCAAAATAATCAAATATTAAAGAGCTAAAATTGTAATATGCTACTTTTAAAGAGTATATTCTGCCTAAAGAATGGAGCAGACTGTCATTTTCTTCTCTGGATCAAAACAATTGTAAAATATTATATAAATAAACTAACAAAGATATTCTTCTTAAAGGGTATACAGTGTAAACCTAAAACTAGAATGATCTCTACTGGCTAACACACTGTGCTAAAAAATGGTTCTGCTTAGCTTTTAAGAACTTTTTGTGGAGCTGGCAACTCTCCCCCCCTCCAGTGCTGGGGATGAAATCCAAGGCCTTGTGAACACTAGGCAAGCTCTAAACTAACACACACCACAGTCCCTATTCTGCAGTGTATAATCACACAGAAGATGCAAAAGGATAAATACATAATTCTAATGAGACCAATTTTAAACTGTGTAAATATTTTTGAATATACATTTATCTACTACATAAAAAAGCTAATTCAAGGTCACTTGCCATTTTTGCGGGAAGTCTTCTGCACTGCCATTGGTGGACAGGGCTGAGCAGGTGCTGTATCTGAAGAATTGGTAGAGCCTGCATGATGAGCCTTTACTTTGTCAGCCCAACTGACACCTGTGGGAGCCACACGTGGAGCAGCCACTGTGCCAGGAGAACCCCTATGGTGATAAATAAATACAGCTAATAAATTAAATATTAAAGTAACAATTTTAAATACATACTTAATATATTACATTTTAAATTAATTGTATGCATGTATCTATTATACTATCACAGATATTTAAGGTGACTAAATTCACAGATTTATCTTGATCTAAACTGGTAAATCATTAATTTTTATCTAGCTACGAAGAAATGGAACTAAGGATAATAAACAAGACTTACTTGATCACTTAAATAATTCATTGAAGCAGGAAATATAAAAAAAAATTTAGAGTTATAAGGAACATGGGAGAGTAGGAGGAGGCCATATTCCAGGCTGCTCCATAGCATGAGACCATGATAGTGGAAATACAGGTTCTCAGTGAGGTAGGTGAAAGAGGGATTTCACTGGGATTTAACACTGGACACTTAGAGCACAATGTGAACGCAGAAGTCTGGACACAACAAAATAAAGAAGAAAGCCCACCATAAGCAACAGCTGCTGGAGCCAACTCACCATGGCCAAAAGGGAAGGGGACTAAAGAAAGCCATATTTCAGGTGATTGCAAGGTATGTCTTGGTGCAGAGAAATCTGAGATCAAAAACAGTGCCTAACATTAGACCAGAGTCCTTGCGCCTACTAGAAGAAAATGTAGGCCCAACTTCTCATCATGTTGGTATAGGAACTGATTTCCTCAACAAGAATCCTAAAGGTAAGAATGAAAATCAAGAATCAATAAATGAGATGGAATCAAACTAAAAAGCTTCTTCACAGTAAAGGAAACAATTAATAACATGAAGAGAGAGCCTACGGAATGGTACAAAAACTCTGCTACCTGCACCTCAGATACAGCATTAACMTTCAGCATATATAAAGAACTCAAAGAACTTAAACCAAAAAACAATAACCCAATGAATAAATGGACTAAGGAACTGAACAGACACTTCACAGAAGAAATACAATCAAATCAACAAATATATGAAAAAATGTTCAACATCTCTAGCAATTAGAGAAAAAATGCAAATCAAAACTACACTGAGTTTCCATCTCATTCTCCAGTCAGAATGGCAATTATCAAGAACACAATCAACAATAAATGTTGGCCAGGATGTAGGAAAAAGGTACACTAATACATTGCTGGTAGGACTGAAAATTGGTACAATCACTATGGAAAGCAGTATGGAGATTCCTCAGAAAACTTGGAATGAAACCACCATTTGACCTTGTCATCCCACTCCTAGATTTATACCCAAAGGACTTAAAATCTGCTGAGKGCCATTGCCAAGTAGGAATGACGCATCGAAATTTCCTTGCCAGCGTACCCCATGTTGCTTAGAGGAAGGACTCGTGGAAATGGACTTGCCTTGGACATTCGCTGTGACATTGCATGTAT